TGTTCTCTCTCTGGTCTCTCTCTCTGGTCTCTCTCTCTGGTCTCCCTCTGGTCTCTCTCTGGTCTCTCTCTGGTCTCTCTCTCTGGTCTCTCTCTGGTCTCTCTCTCTGGTCTCCCTCTGGTCTCCCTCTGGTTTCCCCTCTGGTCTCTCTCTGGTCTCTCTCTGGTCTCTCTCTGGTCTCCCTCTGGTCTCCCTCTGGTCACCCAACCCCCCCAAACCCCCCCACCAACACCCCCCCAAACACAACCCCACCCCCCACACCCCCCCACCCACCACCCACCAAACCCCCCCCCCCACACACCCCCCCACCCAACCCCCCCCCACCAACCACCCACCACCCCACAACCAAACCCAAACACCCCCACAAACCACACAACCCACCACCCCACACCCCAACCCCCCCCCAAACCCCAAAAAACAACCCCACACCACCAAAAAAAACCCCCCAACACACCCCAACCCCCCCCACACCCCCCCCAACCCACCACCCCACCACCCCCCCCCCACACACCACACCCAACCCCCACAACCCCCACCACCCCCCCCCCACCCCCACCCCAACCACCCAAAACACCCCACCCCCCCCACCCCCCACCCCACCCACCCCCCACCACCCCCCCCCCCCCCCCACCCCCCACCCCCCCCCCCACCACCCAAACCCCACCCACACAACCACCACCCAACCCACCACCAAACCCCACACCAAACCCCACCACCAAACCCACCACCCAAAACCCCACCACCAAACCCCAACCACCCCACCCACCAAAACCCCACCCCACCAAACCCCACCACAAAACCACCACCAAACCCCACACCAACCCCCCCACACCAACCCCCACCACCAAACCCCCACCACCATAACCACCACCAAACACACCACCAACCCCACCCCAAACCCACACCCAAACCCACCACCAAACCCCACAAAAACCCCACCACACAAACCCAACCCACACACCCACCCCCCACCACCCCACACCAACCCACCCCCCCACACACCCCCCCACACCCACCCCACACCACACCACCCCACAACCCCCCCCCCACACCCAACCCACACCCACCCACCACACACACAACAACCAAAACACACCCCCCCCCCCACAACCCCAACAAACCCACCACAACACACCCAACCCCACACACATCAACAATAACCAACCAAACCATAACCAACAAACACAAACCCAAACCACACATCCCCCCCACCCACACACACACAACAACCCACCCCCAAAAACCCACCCCACCCCCCAAAACACCCCAAAAACACCCAAACCCCAATTCCACCACCCCCCCCAACCCCAAAACCCCCAACAAACCCCCCAATACCCCACAACACCACAACCCCCACACCCCCAACCCCCCCAACCCCCCCCCAACCCCCCCCCACCCCACAACCACCCCAACCCCCAACCCCCCAACACCCCAAACCCCCACAACCACCCCCCCCCAAACACCCCCCAACCACCCAAACACCAACCATCCCCCCAACCACCCAAAACCACCCACCCCCACAACCCAAAAACAACAACCCCCCAACCCCCCCAAACAACACCCCCATAACCCACCCCCAAACCACCAAACAACACCCCCCCCCCCCAAACCACCCAAACACCCACCCCCCCCCACCCTCACCACACCCACCAAACACACCCACACCCCAACCAACATAAAAAAAAAAACCAACAACCCACAAAAAACCCAACCCAACCCCCCACCCCCACAACCCACACAAACCCACCACCACAACACCCCACAAACAAAACAACCAACCACAACACACCAAACACCCCCCACCACCCACAAACCAACCCACCACAACACACCACCAAACCCCCCCCCCCACCACACCCACCCAAAAACATTACACTATCCAAAACACACAAAAAAACCCCACCCAACACCCCACCCCACCCACACCCCCAACCAACAAACACCCCAAAAAAACCCCATACACACCAAACAAAAAATCCCTAACCCATCACCCCACAAACCACCCTAAAAACACAAAAAAAACCACACCACAAAACACCTAACACTACACCACCACACCCCCCCCCCAACCCCCCCAACCCACCCCACCCCCCACCCCCCCCACCCCAACCCCAACAACCAAAACATAAATAACCCCAAAACCCCATTCATACCCCCCCTCCAATTTCAACCATCCCAACCAAAAACCACCTTATACCACCACACTCCCACCCCCCCTACCACTCCCCCCCCCCCAAAAACCCTTCCAAACAAAACTCAAAAAAAAATCTCCCTCAATCAACAAAAAAACCAACTCCAAACCAACACCCCCCATCATCCTAACTAAACCCAAATACAAACTACCCACCCAACTACATCATCCCCCTACCTTCCCCTTCCTTCTATAATCACCATTTTCCCCCCAAACCCTACCCCCATACATCCCTTATACCTTACAAACCCCCCCAACACCCCCCACCCCCCCTCATCCTTCCATTAAACCCCCAACTAAATTTCTTCCCACCCCCCAAACTCCACCCCACCACCCTTTAACTTCCCCCATCCTCAAATACCACCCCCCCCTTCCCACCCACCTAATCACACCAAACACCCAAACCACCCAACCACCACCCACCACCAAACCCCCAACACCCACACACAACCCCCCACCCCCACACCACCCCCCCCCCCACAACCCCTAACCCCCCCCCCCCCCCCAACCCCCCCCCCACCCCCCCCCCCCAACCCCACAACCAAACACAACCAACCAACCCCACCCCCCCCCACCCCAAACCCCCCCCACCACCCCTCAAAAAACCCCACACCCCCCCCCTCAACACAAACACCCCCACCCCCCCAACAACAAAACAACCAAACACAACCACCAACCACCACACCCCCCCCCCCCACACACCCACCACCCACCACCAACACCCCCACCATCCACAACCACCCCAACCACCACCCCCCCAACCCAACCAAACAACACCCACACAAACACACAACCAATAAACCCCACCACCAAAACCCAACACACACCACCCAACACTCCACCCCCCCCCCCACACCCCCCCCCCACCACCCCACCCCCAACCTAACAACCCCATCCCAACCACACCCCCCCCCCCCAACCCAACCACCCAAAACCACAAAAAACCCCAAAAAAACCAACCCCACACCCAACTCCCACACAACCCACACCCAACCCCACAAACCCCACAACCCCCACCCCCCCCCCACACCCAAACCACCCCCCCCACCCCCCCCACACCCCCCCACACCCCCCCCCCCCCCAACACCCAACAAACAAACCAAACACACCCACACCAACAACCCCCCCCACACACCACCAACACCCAACCACACACAACAAACCCAACAAAAAACCAAACCATAACAAACCACCTAACACACACCCCACACCACCCCCCCCCCCACAAACCCCCACAACATTCATTAAAAACCCACCCACAAACCCCCCCCCCACCCCAAAACACCCCCACCACCAAAAAAAACAAACCTACCACAAAAACTATACCCCTTCATTCTCAATACAATAATCAAAAACACACACTCCCACATCATCCACCACCCAAAACACAAACACCACACAAAAAACAAAAACACACAACACCCAACACCCACAACCCCACACCAATAAAAACCACAACCCCCCCCCCACACCCAACACCCACCCCAAACCCCCACCCCCACTTCAACACCCACACCCCAAAACCCTCACCCACCCCCCCAACACCCACACACAACCAACCACCCCCCACCCCCCCCACCACCAATAACCCCCACACCAAACAAAACAACACACCCCAACAACCCCACCCCCAAACCTCCCTATACCCCCCAACCCCCCACAACAACCACCAACAACCACCCACACCCACCACCCCCTCATACCCACACCACCCCAACACCCCCCCCACACACCAACCCACCAAACACCCCAACACACCCCACCCCCACACAACCCCCCCCCCCACCACCTAAAAACACAACACCCCACCACCACCACACCCCCCACCAACCCACAAAACCCCCAACCCCACAAAACACCCCACAACCCCCACACACCACCCCCCCACCCCACCCAACCCAAAACACCAAAAACCCACAAAACCCCCACACACCCCACAACAATCAACAAAAAAAAACACCACAACACCCCCCACCCCCCCACCCCCCCCCAACCAAAACACCCCCCAAACACCCCAACAACACCACCAACAACAAACACACCCCCCACACACCCCCCCCCCCCCCCACCCCACCACACCCACAACCCCAAACCCCCCACCACTCCAACTCAAACCCAACCCCCCCACCCAACCCCCCCCCCCCACCCCCACACCCAACCCCCCCCACACCACAAACAAACACACCCCACCCACAACACCAACAAACACAAACCACCCACAACCCACCCCCCCTACCCAAACACCCCCCACCCCCCAACAAAACAACCCCACACAACCCCCACCCCCACCAACCTCCAACACCCACCCCAACCCAAACCACAACCACCCCACACCACACAAAACACACCTCCACACCCACCCCAACAAACCCCCACCCCCCCCACCCAAAACCCCCCCCCCCCACACCCAACCACAAACACACCCAACCCACCACCCAACAAAAAAAACCCCCCCTCAAACCAAACCCCAAAACAAACCACAAACCCCCCCCACCCCCCCACACACCAACCACACCCCACCAAACAAACCACCCACTACACAAAAACAACACCAACCCCCCCACCCCAAAAACCATCAAACCCACAAAACCTAACCCACAAACAACCACAAACCCCAAACCCAAAACCCCCCAACCCAAACCACAACAACCACCCACCTTAACACATCAAACCCCAAACTCCCCCCTCCCACAAACAAACCCCCCCCCCCCCACCCACCCAACCAAACCCATTCAAATACAAAACAATACACTAAATACCACCCCCCCCAAACCCCAACCCCCACACAAACATTCAACCCCACCTCCATTCATACCCCATTCCCCCCTTACCCCCCCCCAATTACCTATATATACAAAATATATCCATCAATATATATATAACCCATATATACTCCAATCAATAATCAAAAAAAACATAAATATATAACTATCAAAAAAACCACACCACCCCCCCCCCCCCCCCCACACCCCCCCCCCCCCACACACCCCCCCCCCCCCCCAACCCACAAACACCCACAAACCCAATACCAACCCCCCCCCCCCCCCTACCCAACCCCATAACACCCCCCAAAACAAACCAAAAACCCCCCATAATAACCACACCCATCCAACAATTCCCCCCCCCACCCACCTACCCCCCACCACCAACCACCCTACCCCCCCACACACCACCTCCCCCACCCCCCAAACCCCACCCATCCCTACCCCCCAACACCCCCCCACCAACCCCCACCCACCCCCACCACCCACACCAACCCACCCCCACCCCCCCCACCAAAAACCAACCACCCCACAAAACACAACACCAACAATAACCCAACACCACACCACAAAACAACACCCACAAACACAACCCCAACCACCCAATCTCCCACCCCCAAAACACACACCACCCAAACACCCTCACAACTAATATACCAACACCTATCCCACACCACACCTCACACACACACACACACTATCACACCTCTCTTCCCCCCATCAACACAACCCCCAATCACACTCCCCACTACACTCACCACACATCTCCCTACACTCCTCACACTCACACTATCACCTCACACACCACACTCATCCCTCTTCTCCACTCTCACTACCCCCCTCTCACTCCACACTCACACCCATCACTATCTCACCTCACCTCTCCCCCTCATCTTTTCTACCCCTCTCACACTTTCTCTCTCCCTCTCACACCAAATCTCTTCCACTCTCACACCCCCATCCACTCCATCTCACCCTCTCACACCCCCACTAACACTCCCTCTCTCTCCTCTCTCACTCACTCTACTCATCCCACACTCTCCACACATCTCACTCACTCACACCCCTCTCACTCCTCTATCTCTCCCTCTCTCTCTCCCCTCTCTTCTCCCCACTCTCTTCCTCTCTCAACCCCAATACCAAAACCCCCCACAAAAACCATATACCCCCCATCCCCACATCCCAACCCTCCCCACACCACCCCCCACCAACCACAAAAAAACCCCACACCAACCAACCAACCTACAACACACACCCACCCACCACTACCCCCCAACCACCCAACCACACCAAACAACCCCCCCCCACACCAACCCAACCCACCCACCCCCCACCCCCCCCCCACACTCAACCCCCACCACCCCCACCTCAACACCCACCACCACCACCCCCCACCCCAAACCCACCCCCCCCCCCCCCCCCAACAACCACAACACCACAAACACCCCCAACAACAACAACACCCCAACCAAACTAACACCTAACCAACCCACACCATACAACCACCATCATCATCAAACACACCCCCTACAATAATTCAACCTCCCCCCTACAAATAACTCCCCCTTCCCAACAACACCCCCAACAACAAAAACCTCACAAATCCTCATCATACACACCCAACCTCATAAACACCATCCACAACACCACCAATCCACAACAAACCCAAAACAACTCCACCCAAACAACACCACCACACAACCAAACACCACCAACAACACAACCAACCCCAACCACAAAACCAACCCAACCCCACTAAAACAAACCCCTACCACAACAAAAACCAACAACAACCTCCACCCAAACAACAACCCAACCACACCACCAACACAACAAAACACCCCCCCCACCCCCAACAACCAACAACCAACCACCACACCCCCCCCCCCCACCCCCCCACCCACACCACCCACCCCACCCAACCCACCCCAACCACAAAAACCCCCCCAAACCCAATACCCCCCACCACCCCCCCAACCCCCCCACCCCCCCCACCAACCCCCAACCACAACCCCACCCCACAACCCCCACAAAAACAAACCACACCCACCAAACACAACACCACACCCCAAACACAAAAACAACCACCACCAACCCCCACCCACCCCCCCCCACCCCACCCCCCCCACCAACCCCACTACCCAAACCCAAACCCCAACACCCACAAAACCAACCACCCCCCCAAAACAACCCCCCACACCCACCAACCCCCCCACCCAAACACCCCCCCCACAAACCCACCCCCCCCACCAAACCCACCCCCCACAACACAAAAAAACCCCAAACCCAAAACCACCAACACACCCCACACAAAAAACCCCACCCACCAAAAACAAAAACCCACACCCCCACCCCCAAACAAACACCAACCCCCCCCCCCCCCCCCCACCCCCCCCCCCACCCATCAAACACCACCCCCACCCCCACCCCCACACCCCCCACCCCAAACACACCCCCCACCCCCCCCCAACCCCCCCACCAACACACACACAACCCCCAACACCCACCCCCCCACCCCCCCCCCCCCCACCCCCCACCAACCCCCCCCCACACCCCCCTCCCACACACACACACACCCCCCCAACAAACCACCCCCCCCCCCCCCACCCCCCCCCCCCCCCCCCCCCCCAAACAAACAAAAAACAACACAAACCACCCCCCACACCCCCCCACCCCACCCCCCCCACCACCCCACCCACAAAAACCACCCAACCACCCCCACACCCAACCCCCACCCCCCACCCCCCCCCCCCCCCCCCACCACCCCCCCCACAAACCCCCACACACAACCCACCCCAAACAACCCCCACCCCCCCCCCCCCCCCCCCCCCCCCACCCACAAAAACACCCCCCCACCAACCCCCCACACACCCCCCCACCCACACCCACACAACCCCCACCACCCACCACCCCCCCACCACCACCTCCCCCACCACACAACCCCCCCACCCCCCACCACCCCACCACCCAAACACCACCCCCCCAACCAACACCCACACCCCTCAACCCCTACCAACACACCCACCAAAACACCACCCCCCACAACCCCAACCCCCCCCACCCCCCACCCCCCCCCCCAAACCACACCACCCCCAACCCCAACAAACAACCCAACCCCCCCCACAAACCCCCCCCCCCCCCCCCCAACCACCACCCACACCACACAACACCCCAAACCACCCACACCCCAAACAACAAATCAACAAACCCAAACACCACACACACCCCCCCCCCACCCCACCCAACAACCCCCACCCAACCCAACCCCCACCCACACCCCCCCCACCCCAACACACCCAACAACCACAACCCCCCCCCCCACCCCCCCCAACCCCCCACACCCAACCCCCCCACCCCCCCCCAAACCACAACACACCACCACCACCAACACCCCCCCACACCACCCCCACACCCCACACACCCCAAACCCAACACCCCACCACCCCCCCACACCACCCACCAAAAAAAAACACAACCACCCACAAAACCACCCCCCCCCCCCCCCCCCAACACAAACCCACACCACCCCCCACCAAACCCCCCCCCACCCCCCCCCCACACACCACCACCACACACACCCCCCCCCCCACCCCCACCCCCCCCCCAAACACACACCCCCCACCCCAACCCACACCCCACCCACCCCCCCACAACCCCCCCCCCCCCCAAACCACCACCCACACACACCAAACCACCCCCCCCACCACCCACACCCCCCACACAACAAAAACCACCCCAACCCCCACACACCACCCCCAAACCCAACAACAACCACCACCCACCCCCCACACCCCCCCCCCACCAACCCCCACCCACCCACCAACACCCCCCCCACAACCACCAACACCAACCACCACCCCCCCCCCCCCCACCCCAACCCCACACCCACCACCCAACACCCCACCCCCACCCCCACCCCCCCCCCCAAACCACACCCCACACCCCACACTATCACCCAAAACCCAAACCCACCACCATCCCTAAACCCCCATCCAACACAACCCTACACAACTAACAAAAACCCAACCCAACCCAACCACAACCCACCCCCACCCCCCCCCCACCCACCAAACACACCCACACCACACCCCAACAAACCCCCCCCAACCCCCAACCCCCCCCCCCCCACCCAACCAAAACACACCCAACCCCCCAACCCCCAACCCCCCCACCCCCACACCCCCCCCACAACAACACCCCCCCAACACCCACCCCCAAACACCCCCCCCACCCCCCCCAACCCCCCAACCCCCCACCCCCACCACAACACACCACACCACCCACCCAAAACCCCCCCACACCCCCACCCCCCCCACCCCCACCCCCCACCCCCCCCCCCCCCCACCCCACACCCCACCACCACCCCCACCCCCCCCCCCCCCCCCCACCCCACCACAACCCAACAACCCACCCAACCCCCCCAAAAACCCACCCCCCCACCAAACCACCCCCCCCCCCCCCCCCCCACCCCAAACAAACACCCCAAACCAAACACACCACACACACCCCAACACCCAAACCCCACCCCCAACAAAAACAAACCCCCCCCCCCCCCCCCACCCAACACAAAACCACACCCCACACACACACCCAAAAACCCAACCCACACAAACCCAAACCCCCACCCCCCACACCCACCCACCACACCCCCACCACAACCACCCCCCACCCACAACCCCCCCCCCAACCCCCCCACCCCCCCCACCACCACCCCCCCCCCCCCCACCAACCCCAACCCCACCCCCCAACCCCCCCACCCCCAAACACCCCCCCCCCCCCCCCCCCACACCACCAACCACCCCCCCCAAACACCACCCAAACCCCCCCCCAAACCCCCCCCACCAAACCCCCCCCCCCCAAAACAACCCCCCACCCCCACACCCCACCACACCCACCAAACCCCCCCCCCACACACCCCCACCCAACCCCCCCACAACCACCCCACCCACCCCCACAACCAAACAACCCAAAACCCCCCCCCAACCCACACAACCACCCCACCCCCACCCACCAACCCCCCCCCCCAAAAAAAAACCCCAAAAAACAA